AGTGCCTGCACTCTGGAAATACTACAGGACAGATGACTTCTCAGTGAAAGATCCTGTATCCTACCACCATCACGCAGGACACAAGGTTGTAATATAACATATATACTACTTTCTTCTGTGGTAGTCTTCATGAAAACAGGCGTATTTGGACTGATGAAATGGGCAGCAACCTCACCTAAGATTTATGGGCGCTGGAACATCCACAATTCTGAGGCAAAAACTGCTCTAAAACAGCTGACCACTCCTAAAGAATATAAAGTATCTGTCCATAGTTTTTATTGCTCATCAAGAAAAAGAATCCCAGAAGCACGATTAGGATTCAATAGCTCATGCCTCTTGTGCTTTGTGTTGAACACAAGTAATCCTGGCCAGACCACACAAGCACACATATCTAGGTTTCATGGGTAAAAATGTGTGAATGATTAAAAACTATGACAGAATGAGTTTGAGTTGGTAAAATCAATTCATTTTTAATTTTTAAAAATAAATATCACTTTCTCCTCCTCCAACATCTAACACTGAGTTTTATTACACAATTTTCCTGAACAACTTGTTGTTTATGCAGTTCTGTAAAAGCATATGACAACTTATATGAGCTTCAGAATTTGCAGTCTGAATAGTTACTGCACTAACACAATTTTCTTAAATTTTCCTGATGTACAAAATTACTTGTTTTTAAGATAGAACAGAAAGAAAAAAAAAAAAACACTTTAAAGGCAAAGAAAAAGAAACATTTATGAGCCATTTTTGGAAAGAAAAAGAAACCAAAACAGTCTTTCATAATTAGCTACTTTCCTGTAAAAAGAAAGCTTTGGCAGTTTCAGAACAGCTGTGGGGGAATTGGTTTCTTTTAACTCCCAGATCTGTGGTACAAGTGTCCCTTGACATTCATAATGTTTCCTTTTAAGTTGCAACTTTTGCATTGTTTTGCTTTTGTTTTAAAAAAAAATTTCTACAGTAAAAGAGGCGTTGAGACCATGGACCCTGCACATTCAAAGTTATTATATGAAATATATCAACTTTGATGCTAAAGGCTACCAAAATCTTTTTGACATRAAACATCTAACATCTAACACTGGAATGAAACTACCTCAGAAGAAGGCAACTGATGATCTTCAGGCCTTGCTCTTTGCCTCTTTGGACCTCTCTCTCTCCTGTGTTTTATTACCTTGTATGGGGTTACATGAATTCATCACTCTCATTCAGGGCCCTCTATTCTCTATTCCTCCCCTGCTGGCTGCTTCTCTGAAGGCACTCTCTCTTCTTACTTTTCTTCCCACAGGTCAGACACCTGAAATTTTCTCGCCTTAAAAACCTTTAMATTTGACTCTCTTTCCTTTTCAATCAATGGAGAAAGAACAAGTACCTAAAAGAATCATGTGTGACACATGTGAAGAGCCACTTTGCAGAAACTCCCTTCTCTCTCCACTGTCTGTGAAAGGAGGCTAGTTTTGATGGGATGTCTTGCCCATAGATGGCTAATGCTATGTCTTACTGGTTGTATTTCATCACTTAGCAATATGCTCAGGTTTTGTACTTCTGATTTTTGTAGCTTCCTGATCTCTAAATTGGTCATCCACACTAGGTGATCTCATTTGCAAATGCAGTCATACTGTAGAAAGCTTTGAAAAGTTACTACTCTGCCTATTGCTCTGCTTATACTTTGTAGCTAATAATCTATACCAGTATTCTCCCTTATCTCTCAGCTGATTTCAAAGGCAGAGTAGGATAACTATGAAATATGCAGGTGGCTAAAGGTAGGTGATATGATTCCCTTTCATTATTTTCTAATGCCATGTATCTGGCTGTAGAATATGAATTATGATTTGAAGACTTGCATATGTTGGCTAAGAGAAATGCTGCTTTGTAATATCCTGAATATATCCTGCTGCATGGCATTTTTTTAAAAAAAATACATTGCTTTGAGTTTCATATGAAATAATAATAAAAAATCAGAAAACGGTATCATTAAATGATACAAAAAAAAGAAAAAAGATCTACCTAAGATTTTGAGTAACATGCATGTTGCCAAAAACAAACCTCTGGAAGACAAAGGACCAGTCTGTACAGCATAAAGCCTAAGAAACATCTYTCCCTTGTGCATGTTCCCTTGTCCCATGTGTTACAATTGTGCATGATCTATCAAGTATATAAAAGATAGAAAGCTGCCTCGATCAGAAGACAGATAATATGAAACAGACTTTTTCCCCTAGGTTCTAATTCAAATCCAGCCTACGTATAGCAAGGAACTATTGCTCATAATTTGGGACAGATATGTRGCACACCTGCATCAGTGAACTCCTKCTTGGTTTCCCTCATAAAAACAGTAACACCATAAAACACACCATAATAACTGCTGCAGAAAACTGAATAGATATTTATGCTCAGTGCTTGGGAGAGTTTCTCTAGAACCCTGATTCAGCACCTTGCCCAAAGAGAAAAAGTATAGAGAGGCTTTCAGTAGTGTGTCCCTAAAATCAGATAATATCCAGTTATAAGAGGTGACAATCTAGCAAGTACACACTGATTTCCTTTCTTGAGCAGAAAACTGAATTACTAGAAGTTCATATCTCTGCCTCAGTGCCCTACAACTACAGTGATTAACCAACAAAGAACACTCGGACAACAAAAGCGTAAAGAAAATTACTAAACCTGAATTAAGAAAGTAAGTCCTCACATACTGAGAGAGGTATATGATAGTCAATGTAGATGGCCTTCATCCCATGTCAAGTCTAAGGAACCTTATCTTATGTCTGAAGCACATTTACAATTGTCTTCTGAAAATGGTCTTCTACAGAACTCACTGTTCATTGGAACTGAAGAAAACATACACAAAGCTGCTTATAGGTCTCAAAATCTCCTTGGATTTTGTAATTCCAAAATTCAGGACAGGGACTCTTAGCTGATATCCCCAAAACTGATGAAGGACTGGACAGCATGTGCAATCACTTTAGTGCAGTACTACCCTGGGTCAATAAAAGTCTGGAATGTGTCTTCCCTCTAGGCTTCCTCCCTTCAGAGAACATCTGTCCCCATTTCCTTTGATCTCAAAGTCTTCTTTTGATTTGTCCCCAAGTCCATTCCTGGTTAAGCTGTCTTACTGTCAGTGCTGCAGGTGGGAACATTGTGTGTTTGTCTGCGCAAAGGAAAAAGGTTCATCCTTACTCCTATTTATACCAATGGCTTACTCACTGAGTTCATCTGAAGTTCTTTTTGCTCAGTTGATCACTATGAATTATTCATTTTACAAAGTTTACTAACTCTAACAGAGCATCCTTACCTTGAAGTCCTTTTTAAATAACAGTATCTATGGATTATTGCAATATAATTAAAGAATATATAAAGACCTTGATGAAYGTTCAGTCAAAATCTGAGCATGTGAAGTTCAGCATGCCCTGCGATGTTTTCCATTTTTCTTTGCCACATTCTCTTTCTTTCTTCAGTGAAACCAAGTAATACACTATATTTGGACCTATGGCCACTATCTGGCTTAAGCCAGATTGCTTCTGTACAAAGAGTGGATTTTAGATAGTCATTTATAATGTTCCGAGGATGTACAGATAGTGCCAGCAATGTCATATAGCTGCACTACATGCTCTAGAGAGGCTGATATGAAGTGTAAAATGTTTTCTCCTCCAACTCTTCTTGTATAATTAAACTAGATTGTATAATTAAACTAGAGATTAGAACATAGGAAAAGCTATGTTCATATGTAGAACCCAGACCAGATGTCTCATGTCTGTTACTTCCTTTAATTTGTGTAGTCTACATAGTCCAAAATAACCTAACTGCCCACTCYAGATGCAATCCTAACTGTACTTTTTACAATCAGAATTTATGGGCACTGGTGTGAGAGATTTAAACAATGAGTTATCCTCTGGGACAGCAAAATGAGCAGTAAAAATGCAGACCAAATCAGCTGTAAAAATGGGGATTCAATAGTTTTATGGTGTTGCTGAAGGGTTCAGAGGAGGAACAACTTTTAGAAAGCTTAATATTATTTTTCAGTGCCTCCCCACTGGAGAGAAAGGTAAAAATAGTAAAAATTTAGATCCCCTGTAACACACTTGACAAGTCCTTTTATGAAGTATGATATACTAAGAGCAAATTGCTGCATTTTCATTTTTATGCTGAAGTTGTCAAGCAGCAAAATCAACAGMATGTAGCTTTACAATTACAGTTAACACAGCATAATTGATTGCTTGGCTGCTTACGTTGAATGGAGGATTTAAAGAAGAAAAAGTAATGGTTCTAGTTCCATGACAGGATCTGTAAAATTTTACAGATTCTCCTAAATTAAGATTTTATSTAACATTTTTAATTCATATTCTTACTTCTTATTACTAAAAATTGTCTTTGTTAATGAATGAAGTTAACCTGGGCCTTCAGCCATTCAGAATGAGAATGAAAAATTAACACGAACATCAACACTATTATGACAAGTACTATGTGTACTTAGATTGCAGACTTCTTATATAATAAGGTGTTTTTTTGAGCATATTACTGTTCTTAAAGCAGACTCTGCATAACTAAATTGTAGTTGGATTTTTCTGCCAGAGTTTGCAATTTTATTAAATGACTCTTTGACTTTTCACAGTGCATTTTCACTATCACATAGAACATATACAGCTTTATCACAAGACTCATTGTTTTAACTTTAAATTTTCATACTTCCAAGTATATAAAAATCATTTGATTTGTACATATTCTCATTAATGAAATGCACGTATACAGTGTGTTTTGATATGTGCTTGGAAATTAAAAAAAAAAAATCTGAGTTAAAAAGTGAAAAAACACGTAATTTCATAAATGTGCGTGCAATATGTGCAATGTGTGTTGCACACACAGCCAGAATTAGCTATATCTGCCATACAAAGGTTACAGGACTGAGTTTCAGAACATATGTGACCTCTAGTGGTAGAAAACGAAGCAGTGGCAGAGGAGCAAAGGCCAGTGGACATCAACAGTAACATTTTCTCTATCGTCTTAATTTTCCCCAGACAGAGACTGGGACAGCGCTGCCTTCTGTAACTCACGAGAGTTCTTCTTCTTCTCCGCTGGCAGAAGAACCTGAGGAGGAAGCATCAACACCAAAACTAATTGATGGCTCTTCGGCACTAGGGTCCGGTGTGCTCAGGCCCCAGAGCCATGAGGGTTAGTAGAAAAGACAAACAAGCTTTGCAAGCATCGCTCCCCTTAGGTTACAATGAGAATGTCTGCACAAAGAGATTTTTTCAAGTAAAAATTTTGCTTCTTCAACATTGCTARTAGTTGGCAAATGCTACCTGTACAYTTTTATTGACAGGGATTTCAATATTGTTACCAGACATCTTCATTTTGTAATGACTGTTACATGATTTTGATTTTGACAAATGTGTTCTCAAAAACATAGTTAGAACRTATGAACTTATGAAATGAAAGTTATGGGAAAAAAATAGAAATTTCATGTGAACCYGATTTTCTGTTCCTTTGACTGGTTGTATCCCAATATAAACTTCCCACATTTTATAGGGCAGCTAAAATTCTAACACACAATCTGTCCCTCTTCTCCACAAACATCACCATGCTAGATTCACTAGCAGCTACTTTAAACTCYCTATTGGAAGCTCACAAGAGTTATCTACTCTTGTGCTGGGTCTCTGTGTTGTGTGGTGATTAGCAGAGAACAGCAGGAAGAGCTTAAAGACTATTTTTGCTATTTCTAAGAGCATAACTGGCTGCTGTGGAAGATAAATGAATAAAAGGAGGTCTTGCTTCCAAGCTGGTATGTCCAGTAAAAAGAAATGAATCATTTCTAGTCTTGTTTTTATATAAATTGCTTCAGAACCTTGATCAGACAAAATATATATTGATGGCAAAACAAATAAAAATGGGAGTGAGAACTTCCCAGGACATTTCTCTAAAACCCATGCAATTTATTTCAGTTTTGAAAGGATGCTTCCAAGCATTTCACATAAATATAACATATTATGAATTCTTTATCTGTCAACCTTTCTGAGCACTGAACTCAAACTATCTAGTGCATGGACTAAAGAGATGAATCAGAAGCTTGAGGCTATAACATACCAAATCAGACTTTTTTATGTCTTCATGCTGTTTTCAGCAACATATTTTCGTGTCAGATATTGCTGCTGTTCTTTGCTTGCTGCTGGCTAGGAGACTACAAGACTCAGAAATGTCAAGTTCATTTTTCTTGTTGACGTCTGTTTGAACCGTTCCCATATCTCTGCGCTTTTTCAGCCTACACTAGTCAAAGGTGACAAGCACCACTCCTGCAAGCTCAGAAAACRGACAGAGGGAGAAACTCACTTCCTGCTCTGTGTTGCAATATTTTGTAAAAAGGCAGACATCCTGAACTGTACATGCATTTAGGCCTAGATTTGTTGGAATGGTTCAAGGGGCAATTTATTTTCTTCCTGTGTCAGATTTGCTGCCTGAGCTAATTTAAAAAATCCTGTGCAGGAAGTTAAGAGAAATATATGAAAAGTCTCATTTCGCCATGTTATGTTATTCCTGGATACCCAAGTAGTGATTCAAAAACAACAACAAGAAAAGAGGTCAGCAACAAAAAACCCTGGTCACAGGTTCTTTAGTCTTGCCTTAAAATACAACACATATATTGCCTGCTTGTTGGCAAGGGCCATTTTTGAACAGGTTAAGAAGACAAATCTGCTATGTAACCACAATTGCTTAGGCAGACAGTCTTATCAGAGAGGGAGGGGGAAAAAAAAGGATAAAAAGTTAAACCACATTTTAGATCCATGATTTATGATACTATTTAATTAAACTAACCAGAATATGCAACCAGTCATCTGCTATGAGGAAAAAAAATGTAGCATGAAACAGGAAAGTACTTCCATGGTACTAAAAGATGAGAAACAGATACGCTGATTTCTACCTTTAATGAAAGAGAAAAAGTATCAAAAGTCAATGCATAATGAAACTAACGACATTTCCTACTCGAGACAGAATTTGGACCATCTAGTCAATGTTGCACTTCTCAATTAATTTGAATAGTATCATGAAAAGAAACTTCCCTATCCTCGTATTATTTAACTGGGATGAAATGCCTTCATTTTTTATTTTCAACAGACTTATGGTGACAGCCAAAAATATGTTTGTTTTGTTAAATCACAGCTTCTAAGCTATTTTAACTCAGAGGGATAAAAAGAATAAAATATCCTGAATCTGAATCAGAAATCTTACTTAAAAACAATGCAAAGGAAATTGAAATTATATGTCCATAGCTCTGTAGAAAAATATTAATTTCCTCACAAATTATTCAGAAATAATATTTACTGAACTAAACTAAATGAATGAAATTAGAATAAGTTTCAAAATAGTCATATTTGAGTGCTTTAGGCGGAATAGCAGCTATAGAGGTCAGCATACCTACGGCCTTTCAACACTAATATGAAGTAATTTCTTTTTCTTCTAAGAAAGTTACTAACAGAAATTATTTCCTTTGTTTTATCCTATAGTTTTTTACCACCACTTACTTAATCTAAGTCATTTCTTTTTGAAATGATTTTGTTGATTATGTTGATTTATCTTCTTTAAACCTCACACAGACAGATTCATACGGTATTCTTTGACTCACCTACTCTTTTTGACATGAATAAATGTAAACACTTGAATATTGCATACATGAATGTGGGTCATGACTATTTAAGGTAAAATGAAAATCAAAGCAAATTTGCTAATGTCATTAAAATTAATACATTTGCTATTCTTGGGATGTTACAGTAAGCTACAGACCCTGGGGATAGACAGTGTAAAACAAGGCATCACTAACTACTTTTCAAGCTAGTTTTGTAAAATAAGGCCTACATCCTTGAATGCCTGGGACAGATTTCAGTTAAATGTAATTACAAAACAGAAGATCATCAGTAGATCTTARTACCATCTATAATTTTTATACTACTAAACAAGAGCTTAAAGATCAAAGCGTGAGTACATTCATGAAATGCACTGCAATATGTAAATAGTCTTTACCATTTGCTTAGTTTCTCTGAAGTAGTTCTTATTAACTCCCACAAATTCCTGCATAGTACAGACCATACAGTCTGCTTGTTCTTTTTTCTTTAAGAAGAGTTTGACAGGAATAGAGTATAGGAAGTGACAGAAAGGAAACAAGTCCRTTCTGTCATACTAGCATCTGGCACTGGTAAATTCTCACCTGACATGCAATGCTGATCACTTCTATTAAAATAAATAGAATATAAATTGAGACAGGTGCAGATAAAGGCTACTGAACCCATCAGGTGGCATCTAGCTAACACAGTGGCATCTTATCTAGATCATCTAACCAAGACAACAGGCTAGTGTTTGAAAAACTGAGTATGAACTCTCCATGAAGAAAGTTATCTTATTATTAACTGGTTATCTTATTATTAACTAATTATTAGCTATCTAATTGTAAGCTATCATAGCATTTTTTAAAATATATTTGTGCATTTCTTCACTCCCATGTATGTTACCCTCAGTTGAGAGCAGTTCAGTTCCTCCACACGGGACAGTGAAAGCCAGCTAAAATTTTATTCCCCTACTCACAGGGGGACTGAACTGCCAACAACTACAGGGAGTCAACTGATCCCTGATTAGTGTAAACTCTTGCAGCCAGTCAAAACAGCAGATGTTATTTCTTCATCTAGATGGAAGCAAATAGTTGACAGATTAGAGGGAAATGGAATTTGTCTGGCTACTGCCATCTAATATTCTATTTTTATAGACTGAGAAACACTATATTAGAACAAACAAGTAGAACCTTCTAATAGCCATAGATAGTAAAAAAATTAAATAGTTTTAAGAAAGAATTTAGTAACTTTCTTGGTGAAAAAATATAATATGGTGATTTAAAAAAAAAAAAAATGGAATGAATGTGTTATCTCCAAAGTGCTATGATTCAGTGGTTAGACAAGCATTTTGTAGCTATGTATGTATCCTTTTTCTGGGTTTCAATTTCATACAAAACTAACTGCTTTCCTTTAAATTCTTTTCTAGATCTTCCAACTTGCCTTTTGTGTACATGTCTAGGGACCACAGTCTACTGCGATGATCGTGAGCTTTATGTTATTCCACCACTGCCTAAGAAAACCATGTACTTCTACTCCCGCTACAACAGAATTAGAAGAATCAACAGAAACGACTTTAGTAACTTGAGTATGGATGATAGTATTGATGCAATTACATTTAATTTCTACTACTTTTGTCTCATGTGAATCTAAAGCATAGTGATTGATTTTATATAATGTTTGCATATAATGCCAGTAGGATTATACACATAAATACACATACAGAAAAACTCTTTGCTGCTTTTGAATCTGAAGGTTTAAATGTTGATTCTGAGAGAAATTTTAAAATCAATAGAAATAATGATGTTTTAAAGTGATTCTTCTAGTTAACTTTAGAATGAAAAAAAAAAACAAAAACCAACAAACAAACAAACATGGAATATCTGCCACATTTTAGAAACCATTTTCTTCCTAAACAAGACAAATTTTCATATAGATGTACGTTCAAACATAAGTAAAGTTAGTAGTGTATCTATGTGAAAGGAACTTTACCTTTATATAGATATATTTTCATTGGTTTACTCCAGAATTACCTAGGGAAATGTTAAGCAAGTTGAAAGCCAGAAAATATTTCCAGAAACAATTGCTTTATGACCAACACCTGCCAGAACTGGCAATGATTTGGAGACATTCTATTTTCTAAAAACTCAAACTTCATTCTTTGTTGTGTATTTTAGACCTAACTTTATGTAGCTAATGCTAATTTAATGATCATTTTAGTACATTTATATTATGGTACATTATGGTACATTTTAAAGGGCACCCATTTGAGCTCATCCGAAATGGGCTGTGAGAAAATACGAGTATGAGCTCGTCTAGATATTACAAACTGCTTTGGTCACCTGTAAACAAAGTGGAATCAGTACAAAAAAAAAAAAAAAATACTATGACAGATCAGTGAAATGGAAAGATTTTCTTATGAAAGAAAACCATTAGGGATTGGGTTGCTCAGCCTGGCAAGGTGTAAATAAGGAAGGGAAACAATTGTCCTCAATATTGTCTTATGTAAGAAAGCGAAGAACATAAATGCTAAGGACAGAGAAAAATTATTTAAGCCAAAAAATACTACTGGAAAAATAGTAAAATAAAATTACCATGACAAGAGAGGCTGTGACATCTCCTTCTCTGGAGATCTCCAAAACCTGTTTGGATGCAGCCCTGTGCCACATGCTCTAGGTGACCTTGCGTGTGCAGGGGATTGGACTAGATGATCTCTAAAGGTCCCTTCCAACCTTAAGGATTCTATGATTCTATGAAAAGGGTCATTCATAAATGACCGTGAAAAATGTTCTGAGTGGAAATTAGAAGTAAGCCACAGACTAATGCATTTAAATTAATTTATATTAATACACTTATATTCATATATTATTGTCTGTTTACAAAAGGAAGTTTGTTCTTTAATTGCAAAAAAGAGTGTAATAATAAAATCAATGTATCAAATTTCATACATTGTATTACAATAGGGAAGTGTTGACAGTAAAGAAACATGTAGAACAAGCTTCTAGAGAAAATATTTAATTCCCTTTGAATGTTATTTTCTTCTGCAGAAAACTCATTTAAAAGATTACCAGAATACATATAAATCATAAAATCCTTGACTTGAAATCTTTCACTGAAAGATATATAAGAATGACAAACAAGAAGAGAAAGAAATGTTGTTTCCATTCCTTAGAATAACCATTCAAATGTGGATTATATAATGTGCATTATATAAAAAGAGACAGCTATCACACCGCAAGCTAAGAATATATTTGATGAAAGACCCTTCTAATTTAAATAAAATACCTTTTTATTTTTTAAAAGTTTCAAGAAATACATCCTGATATGCTACTGTATCAAATTTTCCTACCAGGCAATTTAAAGCGGATTGATTTGACTGGGAATTTTATATCAGAGATCCATGAAGATGCCTTCCGGAGACTGCCTCAACTCCAGGAGCTCGTGCTCCGTGAAAACAGAATAAGGCAACTCCCTGAGTTACCATCCACTTTGACTTTCATTGATATTAGTAAGAACAGACTTGGTCGCAGGGGAATACGTAACGAGGCATTTAAAGTAAGTCTGAGTTTGATGGAGAAATCTTTTCTTCCTCTCTGCAAACTAAACCAGGATGTGGTCAGAAGAGCAGCCAAATGTCAATTTATACTCAGCCATGAAGGTGACAGTCACTACAACTATGCTAGCTGCCAGTCAGTCTATTAAAATAGAGGAAGGTAGAGGAGCACTATCAACTGGGTTTGAGAATATCAGTTCTTCTTTGGCACAAAGATCCACCAGCGACAGCACCCTGTGGTGTGCTGGAGCTGTGCACCAGCATCACTCTACCAAGCTTTATTGACCTGGCCAAGGTAGCATCTTACTATTTCTATAACTAGTTGTGCATGCAAGGAAAGGGAGGACTGAATAACAGTATAGGGAGACTATCAAGGTTCATGAGAGCTTTAGCAGGCTAGATTTAATAAGGGGCTTACACTCCAAACTGCACCGGGAGCACTGGGAACCATGGTGGGGGGTGTGGGTGTCACTGATAGGAATCTGCTGGACACATAGGTCAGAGGTCCAGGAAGGATCAAATCTGTTGTACTCTAAGGGCCCCTTAAACCTACAAGACTGTTTCCTTATCTCAGGCTTGCTAACTTTGAGTAGCTCCTGGCTGCGAAGCATATGGACACTGCTGACAGCACAGAGCATGCACATCCCACCTTGAGGGGAGCCTGGTCAGTGTGCAGAGAGCTCACATCTTCCCTGACAGACCTTTCATAGCTGTTCTTGCTACACTCTCAGATCAAGCTGCTTCTTCCGTCATGCCATGGGACTGCATGATTTACCTTATCTAAAGAACATGAAAGATTTCTTTTGGGCTTAGACATTTATTATTCAGATGTAATTTGCTTCACCACCAATGGGCTTCTGCCAAATTGTTTAAGCTCATTGCAAGAGCAAGAAAACAGACTGAACAAAAAACCATTTTGCATAAAGGCTTGGACATTTTTCATGTTAGAACAACATCACTGAAATGAAGTCTCTAGTTAAATACATCTCAAAGTCTCTAGTCACTTTTCCCTTATTTAAACCTAAAGAGTTGATCAGTAATAGGCCTCAACCTGTGCAAATGAAAGTCTATGGACTATCTTTCAGTTTCTATCTTATCATCCATATGATACTGAAACAAACTGAGCCAGGACCCAATGTTGCTTATCACAGTGATGGATTTCAGAACTATTTTCTAGAAATTTTCAAGGATTTTCTAACATGCATACATTTCTTTTCCTGCTTTTTCCGTCATCCTCCAGGATCTGCATAAACTGCAGCACCTTTACATCACTGACAATAACCTGGATCATATTCCATTGCCACTCCCTGAAAGTCTCCAGGCTCTTCATCTTCAGGTAGGTCACAAAACCAAAGGCTCTGGGTATCATTTTCAAATAGTAAGTAAAATTGGAAATTTGTTAATTCTATTTATTCAAAAGTGCCCTTGACTGGACTAATTAAATTGTTGGAATCATATAATTGATTAATGATTGCAAGATTTAAAAGAGGTAAAATTTAGATTATGTGTACATCATTCATTATAATAGGCAATACATTTTTTTTTTTTTTTTTAAAATACTGCCTTTATGCTGGGATAAGTCAAAATCAAATTCACAACAGATGAGAGAAGCATTAGTCATATCAGAAAAAGAAGTGACGTAAAAGACAAAAATCTTTCACATGGCTTCCACAAATCTTTCAGCAAGAATCCTTCAAAAGACCTAAATAATGCTACTTTACATATTGGTTATATCTATATTCAGGGTATTTCAATCTCTTAACAGAAACATGAATATTTTTTCATCGAAACTCTTCCATTTGGCTGTGTTAGGACATATTGTTCACCTTTCTTCTGTATTCCTATTTTTTGTATTTCCTATTTTCTATACTTTCATTTCTGTTTTCTTCCTTTCATCCTGTTTCATTCCTGCTTCCTTACATTTATATTCTTACTAATGTCTAGTTCTCGTTATCAGAGAATACATTTGCTTATTATATAATACAAGGTGGAAATATCATAAGGGGGAATAAAAGCTCTGAAAAAATTTTTAGTCCCAATTTACACATAGTCTTGTATCTTGAAGTTCATTATTGAAAATGCTTCACTTCAAGAATAAAAGCTCCATGAAAATAAGGTATATAAGAGGTATTTACATGAAAGAAATAAATTCTGAAGCATTTTCCATATATATACATTTTCTGTAAAAATACAACTGTGGACTGGCTAATGTGAGAAGGCCAGAGGGAAAGTGATTTGTTGGGTATCAAATTCCAGATTTTGTTGGGTATCAAATTCCAGATTTGTGGCTTTAGAGGTTGAACATTTCAAACTATCAGGATGATAACTATGGTTCTCTGATGTTTTTGACTGCCTTATGATGTCCTCAATGCATTTTAAGTAAAACTGTTCAGCATGATCCATGAACTCAGAATTGCTCTACTCTTCAACCAGGTGCCTTCTGCAAAGGCTGTTTCTGCTACACAATTTGAGTTATTTTACCTTGAAGCTTTAAACTGTCTGAGAGATTTCCCCTACTCAGAAGACTTCTGAGGTGGCCACTTACAGCCACAGTCTGGCATTTGGGTTCAAATTCTTATCTCTTTAGGCCTTCAAAGATTCAAAATTTATTTTCAAGAAACTATCCTTACTGATAGATATGATGCATTTTGTTTTTTAGAACAACAACATTCAAGAGATGCATGAAGATACTTTCTGCAAAATGAAAGATTTTAATTACGTCCGTAGGCCTCTTGAAGACATCAGACTGGATGGTAATCCCATCAATTTGAGCAAAACACCTTATGCATATATGTGTCTACCCCGTTTGCCAGTTGGTAACCTCATCTAAGCTTTTGCTGAAGCCAATATTGCCATATGCCATGAAAATCTTAACAGACAAATGCTTACGTCTTTGCTGCATTAAGCAAAATGCTTTTTTTTACATCTCATTAAATTGGGAAATATTTCTAATAGTAATGAACTTGATTAATCAGATACAAACAATAATCTAAATGCTAAAATAGAAATCTGTTATGTACCCCAATATATGTTCCAGAGCAATTCAGTATGAAAGAAAATATGTTACTACAAAAACTGTGATGAATGCAATAGAAAATCAGTGAAAATTCATAATTTTATGACTAATCAATCAATTTAATCTATGAATTCTAAAGTTAAATAATGATATATCTTAAAACTCAATTATAACACAGTAAATAAAGGAAACAAGAAATATGTGTACAGAATTCAGTGTCTATCCTCTTTTCATTTAATTAAATATTTTAGTCTCTGAGAGAGGCACATTTTTATACTCCTTTCCTATGTTCTTTTTGTTTCTTCTGGAAAAGTAATAACAGCATTTTAAAAAAAGCAGGTTTTCTTTAGAAAACATGGAATATTTCTTTGAAACAGTAATAAGATGTAGAGAYTAAATTTGTATCAGTAAGATAAATAAAAAGTATTTATTGATGCCTTTGGATTGAGTTTTGTAATGCTGAAGAGATTCCAAGCTGTTTTCTGGCTCTTTCAAAACCTAGTCCACTATTTTACCAGATTAAAATCTCATGCTAAATTTTCTGTTTGAGAAATACAGAACTCTATTTTGCATGTCAAGTGGACAAACTCTCCTTGACTTACATCCCTAGTCAAATAAATTAGAGCAGTTCAATATATTAAGGATCATTTTCCAGAGACCCAAGTCACAACAAAGACAAATATCCTTGAAGAGCCATGGGTATGTTTCTAATTATTTGTAGCCATTTCAATGAGCTTTTCTGCTTTGCTTATCTGTTAAAGATGAGCAAGTCCTCTCCTCTGTCCTTCTTTTGCAGAGAGCTTTAACACATTTTTTTCTAGCGAAATCATTGCCAAAATGACCCAATGGATACCATGCATCTACTTATTAATTTCACTCTAAACTTAAGAGAAAGAAATAACATCTGCACATTTTTGGTGACAGAAGACAGAAGATTTAGCAAAAGACTTCACAAACTGACATTTGTTCAATATGAAAGTCCATCTACTAAAAGTCCATCTACATCTAACTGGATACGTGCACTCATTGGAAAAGTGGAGCTGACTGGCTAAATTTCTCCTGGGCCATTCAGTGGAAAGTCTGTGCCAAGAGATCACTTTCTTCTCCCTTATCCCCAGCTTTCTAGAAGAGTCACACTAGAAACATGGACAGTGAGTTTGTACACAACAAATTGAGACAGACTGAGATCAGAGTTAAGGAAGTGCAGCAGGCTTCAATGACTATGCTTTTACAACTTACGTATCTACTAATTTGGCTATCTAGATAGACAAAACAAACAAAAACCATAACAGTTGGGCCCTTCACTTGTGTTTAAATTCATTTTTTTTTTTCCAGAGACTGATACAGATAAAATCCACAGAATACAATTTCTCTCCATTTTTGCATTTTGTTCCAAAGAAATAAGTTGTTTTTAGGCCTGTGTTCTTAGTGTTGAGACAATATTTCTTCTTCCACTTCCTAACTGAAAGGTCAATGATCTTTTTTAAAAATAATCCTCTTAGCTGCAGACTCCATTCCATGCCTAAAATCTAAACTTAGCGGTCTGGGTTTAAYGATGAGAAAGTAATGGACAATGTCAATGCATTCTTTAATACGCAAAATTATCTTACCTTTGGGATTCAGCTTCCCTATTCTGTTAATCTATTTGTAAATAATGAGGTTCATAGATTTTATCAATCAAATGAAAATTAATATAGAAAGGAAAAACATTATTTGTACTATTGGGCAAAGACTGTAAGGATTGCCACGCTAGCATTAGAAATGAAGTTGCACTCAAATGGCATTATAAACATTCTTGCTTAAGAGCCCTTAAAACTAGGCTGCCATTCTTGTTAACATTGGACCTGAAGGAAACCATGTGTTTGGCTGTCCTAACAGCAAAATGAATCCAAGAAAACAGTCAAAAAGTGTGGGAAAGCTAAAAAATGTGAATAATAGGATATTAATTACTCAGGTCAGTTAGCAAGTCCTGAGTACATGAAAATTCATCTTTTTCATACATCAACATTTCCTGTGATTCATATTTTTCCTGTTTTTTGAAAGATCATGTAAATATTAAATCTTACATGAAAAGAGATATTTTAGTCACAGAGACTGGCTGGCTGTACAAGTGTTAGTAATATTTAATGACTGTAGCATTATTATTATATTTTAGCAAAAGAAATCAAAACTAAAATATTTCATTTCAGAGAAAAAATAAGTATTTCATACATGTGAAAGCATCAAAAATGGTTATGAGATCTTAAAAAGGGAAAAAGAAAAACACTCTATTGTGGTATTTTATGGTAATCTAGCTAATATTAATATTAGATTCCAGCAGGAAAGCAATGTTTTGATACCCAGATGTGCTTCATTATCTATAGAAGATATGCCAGCTTCATATCCTGATTGGGAAGCTTTTTGACCTCTGGCAAGTTAAAAATGGTGGTATAAGCAAAGGAATTTCTGTATCTGAATGATCGGCCTTTCTACCAAGAGAGAGAAAATGGACAGAGGTGAGGCATTTTGGACTGTTTGGACCAGGAGGTTTCCAAGGATATTCCCTACAACAGAGGGAATTATGCTGCTAGAGACCTTCAGAATGCTGTGGATTGGGCTGGAGCTGGGAGGAAGGAGTGGAAGAAGTGGAAGGAGGAGGCAAGGACAGAACATGAAGAAGTAAGACAGAGAGAGAGCACAGTTGAGAGCACAGAGACCTTACTCTTTCCTGTCTTCCTGAGAAGCTGAAAGATAGCAGGAAATTTGCAGGAGTGTTGAACTCCTGCTTCAACTCCTGCTAAAGAGATTTTTACCATTCCTTCCCCTTCACACCTCATTCCTCATGTCATCAGCAATTCTTCATGTCACCTGTGGTGTACATGTGCTCACAGATTGGTGACAGGGAGCATTACAGCTTGCTTCATAATTCCCACAGGAATCAGCTCTCAGTTCTTGTGCAGAGGTGAAGCATCACGCCATGGTCCTAGAGACAGCTATGTTGCCCACCCAAGTCTGGACAGTGGAAGACTCAGAACAGGAGGAGAGTTCTTGCTAATTTTGATAAGAGTGATGCACCTCAATTATGGCTGCAGGAAAAGAATGTTAGAAACATGGCTCCCCAGCACTTACTATGATGCCTACTATGTGTTTCAGTTTGGGGTTGTATGCAAAGGTACGTTGCAAAAAATGTAATTCACTGTGTAAGAAAAAAAAATCCACTGTTGTACTCAAGAAGTCAAGAACTACATAGAATTTAATCTCTCTAAGGTCTGTCTTGGAAGAAACCTCGAAAACCACAGAGCAGAATTCAAGACCTTGCATAACGGTCAGGTATTCTAATCTAATGCAGACCTCATCCATTGTGGGAATCCAGCCAGAGAACTCACAGTCGCTGTGTATAATATTTTTTCTCATTTTTGGGTGGTTTCTCTTGACTTTAGTCTTTGTTCCACTTTATAAATCTGATTAAGTTTCATGGAGCTCAGTTGTGATGCTAAGGTGCAGACCTGTTTCATGTCAGCAGTACTTCTGAAGCCCACCATCATATTCCATTCTGCACAATTTCAGGTGAGCACTGAGGAGTTTAGCATGCAGAGCATATGTGCAACCTGCTGGTTTTATTACAAGAGCACTGTTAAACATATAATCTAAATCTGTGCTTATTTTTCAAGTAATTTTGCAACTGGCCTGTTCAAATACATGCCAAGCATATGTCTGTCTTAAGTAAAAAAAAAAAATGTTCTCACTTCTGCAGCTGTGCACATCCAAAAAGTACAAATTTTCACTGAAAGAAAAGTTGCACTATAAAAGAAAATCAGACAAAAATCTAACAGCGCTTTCTTTGATCCAAATGTCATGTGTGGCACTCACTGGTGATAAAAAGGCAATGTTAGAGTTGCAGGAATCAAACAATTCTACTGAGTTAAAGACTTCCATTTCCAAAGACTGGGAGACACTAAGAAAATATTGCTAAAGTCATGAATTGTGATATTCAATTTACTTTTGTGAGAGAGAAGTCTTTAGAAGTCTTCTAGTTATCTTCACATCACTTTTACAATGSGAATGCACATTAACATGACTGATTTTAGCAAAAGATGAAAACAGAACTARAAGTCTTGACAAAGAAATGCATAATGGAAAAACTCAGCATCAGAGATGGAACATGAAATCCTAATTCTAATAATGTCAATGGCAAAACACCTACTGAGTCCAAAAAGGGTCAGCATTCCACCTCAGAAATGTCCAGCTTTCAGTTCTGTGCCCATACAATAATTCTCTGCTTCCTTCCCCAGCTCCTAGGAGGTCTATGCTCTCAGAAAATCTCTCTTCATACAATGTAGAAAAGAAACCAGTGTTTTGTTTTACTTTTTTAAACAGAAAATGATTGCTGTCACATTTCATAGCTCAAAGCAGCAGTTATGTGTTAGACATCCTTTGGGAATGACTGCTGCGACAATGGCAAAAGAAATAAATATTTTTTAAATTATGTCTCAGTATAAGGGACTGAACAGTGCTGGGGCCTTGTGTTTGGTGTCTGAAACAATGAATCTATGTTAACCCTTATGCCAAATGTGSCCTAAATTACGGAAACTATCTGGCTCAGTTTAGGACAGCCAYGAGAGTCTCAATCATTCAATATTGTGCAACTACTTTCAGTTTCAGTGAGTTGATGTTAAAATGCCTAGTTTCTATTGAAGAGCTCAGCCAAAAAGAAATCCATGGAAGTGCATTTTACAGAAGGGCTGACGATGTCAGTGCTCGATAACGAGTTAAGTAATAGCATTAGATCATATGAAATAGATCATTGTAAGTACTAAATTACTTTCGCGTGCCTT